GACAGTAAGGGACGTTTACACCACACACTGACAACATGCTGGGGACCCTCTGCACTGCAAAAAAATTAAAATAGGCCTATTTGGGGAAATGTAACTCACAATGTAAATGTTGGGGGATGTAATATTTGAGTTACATAGGAGCTTTTATTTGTTTTCTTCCCTAATTGTCCTTGAAATAGTGGTCAAGAATGGCCACTGATCAAAATTTGATGTTGTCATTTGATTTGAAGTTCAGTACCCTCAAAATGTACGGTCAGCACAAGTCCGGTGCTCAGAAAAGGAAAGAAAAGAGAAGAAGAGAAGAAGAAAATAGAGGCCTTAGAGATTTTCTAAACAAATATTTTAAAAAAGGTGGTGACGGTGAAGCTGGAACTAGTAAAGTCAACGTAGAGCAAGGTAAGAAACAGTGCAGCCAACGTTTAGCAGTCTTGTAACGTAACCTAACAGGCCAGCTCTAATGTTAACGTCCATCAGCCTGTATAAAAGCCTGACACAACACGTTATCTCCCACAGGAACAGTTGAGTTTGGTAGTTCCGTCAGAGAGGATGAGACAGAGAGGAGAGAGATCCAGCTGCAGTCAGGTGACAGAGAGAGTGTTGCGGGAGGGGCCCGCTGCCCCGCAACGGAGGGACACAGTCAGGCTACCGGTGAGAGAGAAGAGAGAGAGAGAGAGAGAGAGAGAGAGAGAGAGAGAGAGTCACAGTGGAGGGGAAAGTGCCTGCTGCCCCATCGGAGAGTCTGATCAGGATGGATCAGAGACTGATCACACACTTCATTTCAGCGATCCTGCATTATGGCCAACTACAATGACCGACTCTGATAGAGTGAACCTCGTACGTGTGATGGCAAAACGAACACCTTTCTCAGAGAGGGCAAAGGGATTGCCAGCAGATGCAGAGGACAGGGAATTCCCAAACTATCTGACATATTCCACATCCCACAATGGAAGGGAAAAAATCGATAAGGACTGGATAGTATATAGCAGCTCAAAAAAGGCCTTATTTTGCCTACCATGCTTGCTGTTCTCCTTTGAAGTAGAGAAAAAGTCAACTATGGAAAATATATAGCATTTATTCTTATATAGGGAAAAGGAGAGATCTGGGCGCGGGGGCCCATCTAAGATTATATCGTCCCGGGCCCAGGCAAGACTGTCAGCTGGCCTGATTTCCATATTTGTTATTCTCAGTTTGATGCTGATATTTGAAATCTTAACAAAATCATGAAAACAAAAGGATGCAACAGAAGATTCAGAACCAGTCCTCAAGTCCAGCAGTGTTTCTGAATGTAAGCAGACTGATGAAGTGAATGAGATGTTGACAGTGAAAGTTGGTCTCAACAGGATGTTTCAGTTCCACTCCCCTCATTAGTGAGAGTCAGGAGGTTTTTGTACAGCCATGTATACAAACTGAATCACTGTGGCATTCGGACAAGGCACCAAGCTGATTGTGACAAGTAAGTACCTTTTAACTGATTATATAACAAGGTAGATTCTCTGATTCTGATACACATTAAAAGAAGATGATCAGTTCCTATGTTGGTGATTGTTTAAGAGATTTTTAAAAATATTTTACATGCTTAATACTGTAAAACTACTGGGCTTGTAATGTTAATTTATTGATTAAATAAAACAAAACGTTTTAGATATTTAAAATTAAGAACTGTTTCTCCTTTTATAATTATATAGATGCCAAAAGCTGATTCAGTGTGATTTAAAAAAATGTGTACTATATTTAAAATGCAATTTTAAGACACAGAAGGTGAAGGTAATGAATTAGTTACCAACATAAAAATGACACAGAGGAAAATATTTCCAGGTTTGTGACTGATTCGGTTTTATATTAGTTCATGATCTTTAAAATATTTCACTGATTTAAAATGCTTTATTTCTTCAGCAGGATTGTTATATTTTTCAAAGAAAAAATATATATAAATGTTTTACTGACATTTTTTGTATGAATGGCTTAATTTCCAGTTATTTAATGAATGTCCTTCATGTATTTTCAGGCTCAAGCTTCCCTCCTCCTGTGCTGACAGTCTTCCCTCCGTCCAGCGCTGAGCTCCAGTCCAACACAGCCACTCTGGTCTGTCTGTCCAGTCAGTCTGTGCCTTTTGCAGATGTGAGCTGGGTGTCTGGTGGGAGTCCAGTGAGCAGTGGGATCTCTACCAGCACCGCTGTTCAGAAACCAGACCAGACTTTCCAAATCAGCAGCTATCTGGCCATCCAGACGTCAGACTGGAACATGGATAAGGTTTACACATGTAAAGTGTCTTTGGGCTCCCAGACTTCAGAGAAAAACATCAAGAAGTCAAACTGTCCCACTGAATAATAGCAGAGGAGCAGAATGACCATTTCTAATCTGCTTCTTTACTGTTTGTGCTGTTTGCTCATTACAAGGTTTACATGTTAGAAAAGATATGTCTGCATGCTTGTAATAAATGTTGTGACAGTTAGGTGGAGGTGTTGTATCAGCTTTGCAACTGCTGCATTTTTCCAGACTTATTCAATAAAAAGACATTGTGATCAAAAAAAAAAAAAGATTTTGTTTATTATTTCCTTTTTTAATTAGAAACAATGATTTTAGTTGGAAAATGTCCAACTTGCACTAGATTTTATTCTTATCTGGATATTCATGTCACTGCTTATTACAGTTTATCCAGGACACATAATTAAAGACATATTTCTGTATAATTTTTGCTTGGATAAGTATATTTAAAATGAGAAAGCGGTATTGTCATTAATAGTTAATTTGCAACAAAAGTATAACATACAGATAAATATCACGTTGTCTGGTTTAAGTTTCTTGCAAAAGACGTTAGAAAAATCTGATAAAATGAGAAAATGAAACTGAGTTTTCACCCTCCGTCAATGAAGCGTCACCTCTCTACTCCTCCCTCTCTTCCTTCCCAGGATGCACCTGCAGGCCTCCTCAGAGTAATTATAATAGAGTTTCATCAGATAAGATGAATTGATAGGTGCCTTCACCTTGTGGTTGATATACCGCTACACAGTTTACATTTTAAAATACACATTGTTTTTAACATACTGTAGGAGAACAATGAAAAACCGGAATCATATCCCTTGTATGTCTACCCACGCTTGGTCAATAAAGATTGATTATTCTGATATAAGTTCTGTAAAATCTCTGCTTATAATACTGTTTTATAAGTTATGAATAAATACATCATCCTGGGGGGGAGAGAGGGAGGAGTAGAGGGGTGATGCTTCATTGATGGAAACTCAGTTTCATTTACTACACATTTTAGTGGATTTTTTTTAACATACAAGCAACTACTTTGGCTCTGTTGAGTTTTTTGCAAACTTAACAAAAAGTAAATTTCTTGATTTACATCAATATCTTATGAATGATTTTGTATGCCAGTTTTTCTGAATAAAAACAAAGAGAGACTGAAAGCATTAGTTTGTCTACCGTCTTCTACTCACTGTCAGTGACAAAAAATTACAGCAGCAATAGAAGTTTTGACACAATGCTTTTTTATTGAATATGTCTTGATACATTTATCATTTGCAAAGCTGATACAACACCTCCACCTAACTGTCACAACATTTATTACAAGCATGCAGACACATCTTTTCTAACATGTAAACCTTGTAATGAGCAAACAGCACAAACAGTAAAGAAGCAGGTTAGAAATGGTAATTCTGCTCCTCTGCTATTATTCAGTGTGACAGTTTGACTTCTTGATATTTTTCTCTGAAGTCTGGGAGCCCAAAGACACTTTACATGTGTAAACCTTATCCATGTTCCAGTCTGACGTCTGGATGGCCAGATAGCTGCTGATTTGGAAAGTCTGGTCTGGTTTCTGAACAGCGGTGCTGGTAGAGATCCCACTGCTCACTGGACTCCCACCAGACACCCAGCTCACATCTGCAAAACCCTTAGACCCACTGGGCAAAATGGACAGACAGACCAGAGTGGCTGTGTTGGACTGGAGCTCAGCGCTGGACGGAGGGAAGACTGTCAGGACAGGAGGAGAGAGGCTGGAGCCTGAAAATACATGAAGGACATTCATTAAATAACTGGAAATAACGTCACTGGGTAACATTTACTTCATCATTATCTCAAAGGTATTTACTCTTTTTGTGACCCTTAAAGTAAAGTGGATATTTTGAACTAATTGTTACCCAATTATTCATTAATATATTATCTCCCTGTCTGTTCTTTAGTAATTCATCTTCTATTATACAGTCCTCCAGCAGGAATTATTAGAAAAGTTAATAAATCATCATATTTCAAGTCGTCCCTAATTTGTTCCTCACTCGTTTCTTAATGAATGCTTGATGATTCTTAATCGTTAACTAGTGTATAAAATTTGATTGGGAGTTGCTTATTAACTAATGGTTCACAAGCAGTTAGTTCTTAAATTTGTTCCTCCCCTGGTAACCTCACAGTCTGGTATTAAAAATGTCTGTGTTACCAACATACATAATTAGAAAGAAACAAAAACATCAATTTTTAAACAAACTATTAATCACTAACTGAAAAATGTTGAAGAATTCATAAAGTAACCTTCTGTGCCTCACACAATTAAAATGCTTTTAAAAAGCAGTAACAAATATAATGATCATTTTCTGTTTATACAAATTAAAATCAGAGAATCTTCCTTGTTATATAATCAGTTAAAAGGAACTTACTTGTCACAATCAGCTTGGTGCCTGGTCCGAATACCACAGTGATTCAGTTTGTATACATGGCTGTACAAAAACCTCCTGACTCTCACTAATGAGGGGAGTGGAACTGAAACATCCTGTTGAGACCAACTTTCACTGTCAACATCTCATTCACTTCATCAGTCTGCTTACATTCAGAGACACTGCTGGACTTGAGGACTGGTTCTGAATCTTCTGTTGCATCCTTTTGTTTTCATGGTTTTGTTAAAAGTTCAAATATCAGCATCAAACTGAGAATAACAAATATGAAAATTCTCTCAGAATTCACAAAAGGTTGTAGAGTGTTTCTGACTGAGGTTTTTGTCACAGTGTGAATCACTGTGATACCTCCTCGTTAGCAGAGCTGTCCCATGTTAGACAATAATAAACAGCAGAGTCTCCTGTCTCTGCCCGCTTAATGATGAACTGGTAATCTATGTTGGATGAGGCTTTAGAGTTGAATCGGGTTGAGGAGAATCCTGTTCCGAAAATTATTGAACCGTCTTTACCCAGAAAACTAACAACATACTGAGGAGTTCCACCAGGAACCTGTTTATACCATCTAACAGCAATTCCATCATCTCTCTCAATGTTGCAGTTGAGAACAACCTCTTGTCCTGTAGAAACTGTGTGGACAGCAGGCGTCTGGGTCAGTACTATCACTGCATCAACATCTGTCAACATACACAGTGAAATACATGAGTGAATGGTTTCTGTGTGAAAATATGGGCTATAAAAGGAATGAGAAGAATATCTTACATGTTAGAGCAGTGATGAGAGTGCAGAGGGTCCCCAGCATGTTGTCAGTGTGTGCTGAGAATGGCCTTGTAACTTGGAAAGTGAACTTACTGCTGACAGATTAGAGGGTTTGGAGGATGAGGAGAGGAGGTGCTGGAGGAGCAATTTAATACAATACTGAAACTGAGAGTGACTGACAGGAGGAGGAGCTTTGGTTATAAAATAATTTCAGTCTGCATGTGACACTGCTAGATTTCACTCATTTCAAAGCAGCATACTCCTTATAATTCTAACATGTTTTCTGATATTACAGCCTTGTAGGTCTCATATCTGTATGTATGTATTTATTACATTCCATGTTTGTTCAAAAAAGTACACTTTTGAAATTAATGATGTGAGAAAATCAGTTTCACAGTTGTGTATTTTTGCTGTGGCCAGTGGGTAATTAATGGAATTAGTTTAAGGTGCATTTTCAAAATATCAGATAAAGATTGACTGTATCTTAACTTCAGAAATAAAATCTTCATTATATAATATCAAAGTCTGGAAAGTGGATATCCTTTGCAGAATATAGGTCTTGGCTTTGTACATAAGATACACACATTATATGTCACAAAGTGATAGCTGCCCCCTTGACCTCTTCATTTACATGCAGCTGTAAGGTGCATCCTGGGGGGAGGAAGAGAGGGAGGAGTAGAGAGGGTGATGCTTCATTGACGGAGGATGAAAACTCAGTTTCATTTTCTCATTTTATCAGATTTTTCTAAAGTCTGAACTACTGCAAGCAACTAAAAGCAGGCAATGTAATATTAATCTTTCTGTTGTGCTTTTCTTGTAAATTAACATCTAATAATAATGTAGCTTTCAGAATTTAAATATAGACATTCAAGTAAGAATTATAAATATATCTGTAACTTGGTAAAGGTTACAATATTGTGTAGAACATTATTGTTTCAAATTATGTTTTCAATAAATCAAATAAATAGAAAAACTTTTTGTTCACAGTTTTTTGTATTTTTTTATTGAATGAATCTTGAAAAATGCAGCAGTTGCAAAGCTGATACAACACCTCCACCTAACTGTCATAACATTTATTACAAGCATGCAAACATCTTTTCTAACATGTAAACCTTGTAATGAGCAAAGAGCACAAACAGTGAAGAAGCAGATTAGAAATGGTCATTCTGCTCCTCTGCTATTATTCAGTGGGACAGTTTGACTTCTTGATGTTTTTCTCTGAAGTCTGGGAGCCCAAAGACACTTTACATGTGTAAACCTTATCCATGTTCCAGTCTGACGTCTGGATGGCCAGATAGCTGCTGATTTGGAAAGTCTGGTCTGGTTTCTGAACAGCGGTGCTGGTAGAGATCCCACTGCTCACTGGACTCCCACCAGACACCCAGCTCACATCTGCAAAAGGCACAGACTGACTGGACAGACAGACCAGAGTGGCTGTGTTGGACTGGAGCTCAGCGCTGGATGGAGGAAAGACTGTCAGGACAGGAGGAGGGAAGCTGGAGCCTGAAAATACATGAAGGACATTCATTAAAATAACTAGAAAGTAAATCATTGAGTAACATTTACAATAAAGGACAGATAATTCTGAGTAGTTACAAGGCCAACAAATTAGGAATTAATGAGGAACTACTAAAGAACAAATAGTCACTAATTAATAACTTATCAAATTTGAGCCAATGTTTAGTTAATTCAGAAACATGTGAGGAACAAATTACTATATTATATTATATCCTATGTAAATGAATTACTGTTTCTGTGCACCCCAAGTAAAGTAATACATAATACTCCATAGTTAGGTTACTAACTAAGTAAAGTGTATATTTACTAATTAATTGTTTCCCAATGAGTCATTAATATATTATCTCCCAGTCTGTTCTTTTGTAATTCATCATTATATACATACATATATATAAATTGTTGGAGCAGTATTTATTAACGATTATTCAATTATCAAATAATTCCTAACATGTTCCTCACTAACTTGTTAATAAAGTAATCATTATATAATAATTAGCTAATCTACACATTTGGATAAGGAGTTGCTTAATAACTATTGCTTCACAAGCAGTTAAAAACATATTTTTTTAGAGCAAACAAAATATGCTGTTGGATAGTCACCTTCTGTGACTTACAAAATGATATTTGAATTCTGAGTGTGCTGATTCCCAGCAGTGTAGTTCTGATATTATAATGCTATCATAATAGATTATGTAACAGGGCTAGAATTGTTTTGTAATTTTGAAGTTCGCCACAAGTTATGAAAATAACTGTACTGAACTTTTTATAAAACATTTGAAAAACTTTCAGTTTTCTTCCAAAACAGCTTGGTATGAAAGCTGAGAAAACAACATCAACCCTATAATGATTTAATAATGTATTAAATGTTTTTAAAACATAGTAACAAATATAATATTAATTTTCTATTCGTACAAATTACAATCAGAAAATCTGTCCTGTTTTACAATCAGTTAAAAGGTACTTACTTGTCACAATCAGCTTGGTGCCTTGTCCGAATACCACAGTGATTCAGTTTGTATACATGGCTGTACAAAAACCTCCTGACTCTCACTAATGAGGGGAGTGGAACTGAAACATCCTGTTGAGACCAACTTTCACTGTCAACATCTCATTCACTTCATCAGTCTGCTTACATTCAGAAACACTGCTGGACTTGAGGACTGGTTCTAAATCTTCTGTTGCATCCTTTTGTTTTCATGGTGGAGATGTTAAAAGTCCGGATATCATCAGTGAATTCAGTCAAATGTTCATGATGAAACTGTTCTCCTTTAAAGCGCATCAGTCACCAATGCAGATAAACTTGCATAGTTGTTATTGACTACAGGGATGGCATTAGAGTCATTTTATGTTCAACTTGTTGCAGCTAAAAGTTGTCTTCAAACAATTAAATTTAATTTTGTAATAATGTTAAACACATAATTATTTACTTTATTTTTTGTTGACATCGTTGGATGTGTCACCAACCCCACTGCCTTATGTGTAAATATATTATATCATTTATTTGCTTCTTTTCTTATGACCTCATTAAGTACTAACTCTCCACTTTTTCACAAACTGGACTACAAACTTTATTAAAATACAGAAATGAATTTAAAGCTTTGTGATCACACCAAATAGAAAAAGAAAGAAATATGTCATATTTTGTATGTTTTATGGCCAATACAGGAACAGCTTTATATTCCTTTTGTCTTCGAGAAAATCATTGAAAGAAATGTACAGTATGTGATGCCTCGTTGTGATGTATCTGATGTTTGTGGTCATTTAAACCCCAAAGCCATCAAACTCCCAGTTAGACCACAAACAGAAGTAATTCATCACATATATTTGATCACAAGCTGAAGAATGAATCTTTATGCTTATCTTTGTTTATCTCTCATTGGTGTTTTTTCACTGTGCAAGTTAAGAGAACTAAAAGGAAAACAGAAAACAACAAACACTGAATAAATTACTTCTTAATGTTCAGTGGTGGAAGTTAACATGTATGTAAAATGAATCTTTTAAGATTAGATTGTGGAAATTGGTTTTTAGTCATTTTTAAATCCTTATGTAGGGTAGTTGTAGGGAGCATTAGTTGATGTGTCAGAAACTCAAAAAGCAGAAGTATTCAGTGAAGAGGTTTTTGTCACAGTGTGAATTACTGTGATACAGCTGCAGAAGCAGAGCTATCCCATGTCTCACAGTAATAGACGGCAGAGTCTCCTGTCTCTGCCCTCTTAATGATGAACTGGTAATCTATGTTTGATGAGGCTTTAGAGTTGAATCGGTCTGAGGAGAATCCTGTTCCAAAGCTGGGTGAACTTTGACTATGGTAAAATCTCAGTACATACTGAGGAGTTCCACCAGGAACCTGTTTATACCAATGGACATAGTTTTGATCTTTCTCAATGTTGCAGTTGAGAACAACCTCTTGTCCTGTAGAAACTCTGTGGACAGCAGGCGTCTGGGTCAGCACTTTTACTGCATCAACATCTGTCAACATACACAGAGAAATACATGAGTGAAAGGTTTGTGTGTGAAAATATGGGCTATAAAAGGAATGAGAAGAATATCTTACATGTTAGAGCAGTGATGAGAGTGCAGAGGGTCCCCAGCATGTTGTCAGTGTGTGGTGTAAACGTCCCTTACTGTCCAGCTGAGAGGTGAGCAGGGTTGGAGTGTGAGGAGAAGAGAGACTGAAGCTTATAAAGACACTGAGGAGAGGAGATGTGGAGGAGGAGGAGTTTCAGCACTCAACACTGTTCTCATTCATTAATAAATGACAGAATGTATGTGTTTCACATCATATCCACAAATCAGTGTGTTTGTCATTGTTCCTGATGTAACTGGAGACCTGCCGATGTCCTTTGTATCTCTGTAAATGATCTCAGTGGTGGTACAAATGTTCTTTTTAAACTGTTCTTCTGTTTCATGTTTCAAGAAATAAAGTAAATATAATCACATACTAAATACATCTTCATTAGTTTTCATGTACATGCTTTCTCATAGCTGTCTGTTACATTAAGTTCAGTAAACATTGTTCAATAATAATCAGATTTCTTCAGATTTTCTTTCATTCATTAATCAACAAAATCATGCATGGGAGGTTTTGCATAACTCATGTGAAATGTCCTGTTTCATAACAAACATTTCTTCATATGGCTTTAGAAGTCTGCTGATGTCCTTTGAGTATTAAATCCACTTGTGTTATCACATGAATGTTCTCTTTGAACTTTCTGTATTTTTACATTAAGGACTGACCACACTCAAACACTCCTTCATTCATTTATT